ATTTCTGGTGTATCTGTGGGGAGGAAGGTGTTCTCCTCGTCTTACTCTTCCGCCATCTTCCCGGAAGCTCCCGTCCCTATTCTTTTGTCTCTGTTTTTTCTTTTTTCTTTTGCCCTACCCAGGTACGTGGGGAGTTTCTTGCCTTTTAGGAAGTCTGAGGTCTTCTGCCAGCATTCAGTAGGTGTTCTGTAGGAGCTGTTCCGAATGTAGATGTCTTTTTGATGTATTTGTGGGGAGGAAGGTGATGTCCACGTCTTACTCCTCTGCCATCTTGAAGGTCTCCTGTCAGTCCTCATAATTCTTAACGTTCCTTCTCCTTTCACTTTCTTCCTCAGTTCTTCCTGCTTCACACCAGCACACTAACCTGTTCTCTGGCTAGAGTTTACTTGCTATTCACCAAATTTCCCACCACTTCCATCGTCACCCCCAGATACATGTGCATCTTTGTATATATGGCTTGTTCAATGTGGTGCCTTTCCTATTTCCCTTACTCTCCCGACCCAACCCCTAAGTGACTGAGGAAGTTCAAGACTAACATAAATGCTATTTCTCCCATGAAACCTTTGCCATTTTTATCAGCTGGAATTATTCTTTTTCTTCCTGGAGCACTTATAGCATTGGTAGTTGTATTATAGCAGTAATCATATACTGCTCGTCTTTTTCTTTTCTAGTGGATTTTTCTTCACACTGGATTTTAAATCCTTAAAATGAAAATTATGACAACATCTCTCATTTAGCAAATGCTTTCTACCCACGGTAGTCCTTACATCATTGATTTTTATCCCTGGAGCAAGAAATAATGCCATAGTATGACTATCTCAACCTCTCAGGTGAGTCAGTTTACTGAACATTACCCAGGTAACTAGTAGAGCCAAGGTTTCAGCACAGGTCCATCCATCTAAACCCAGCCCAAATTTGTAACCACTATGCCAGGGGCCAGCAATAATGACCTATTCACCTTCAGAACTTCTAGTGCATAATACACTGATTTTACTATTATAAATTTTTTTCTTCCTTACTATTTATTTTACATGTTTTTAGAATTTCAATTTTCTTGTGCCTTTAATCTCTTTTCTCATTTATTTGAGAACTGCACGCATATTAAAATTCTTAATAAGGAAGATTTTAAACCTTCTTTACTTCATTACAAAATTAAAACAGTCAAATATATTCCATTTCTACTGAATTATGCAGCGTGAAACAGATATTTGATTTCACTAAAGGCAGGTTAAAAATTTTATATATATTGAGAAACAATTGTCTGTTTCATAAATGCCATAATAAAGACTTAAGGTATGTCAAATAAAATAGGATTCTGGTGAAAACAAACAAAAAAACACAACAATTTGATTGATTCTTTAGCTGCTGAGTTGCTGAATTGCTGTACTCATCTCTTTTCCATGTTGGTAGTACTGGTGCCACACTCAGAAAAATATGTTTAGGGTCTTGTACCTCCTTCTCCTCATTCTTGTCATCAAATAATATTAAGTATCCATAAGATACACATCTCATTAAATTGACACAGTAGGTATATGCTGAATTAATTATTAGGTGATTTAGTTCCTATTAGTTAATTGAGTTTTCAAAGTCATATTTTGCTCTTTGACTTAAAATTAAAATGGCATTAATAATATACAAATATAAGTTTTATGCTTCCCTGAGGGTGATTCTTTTCTAAAACACTTTCTCTTCTTTCCATTCCTCTTTCACACACAGTTTCATTTTTTCTATTCCCTTATTTGGTGGGGGTTAGAGGGTGGGCAGGTCTTTCTTACAGTTTGCACATACAGCTCTCACTTTTGGAATTCCACTGTAGAGAAATATTTTATCTGAGGTCCCAAACCACTTACATCAGTGGCAATGTACAATTTAAATGAAAAAAAATCCCATATGAATATGTCAGAACATATAAAGGAAATTACTTAGCATGGCATTCAGGGTCTTCCATATTTTGTCCCTATGTTCATTTGTGGTCTGATCTCATAATATTTCCTCTTTCATGGTCAGCCATAATACAGGAGATAGCAGAATTAAACCCAGTGGTGTGCAAAGCAGAAGTGGCAAAGTGTGATCACCAATGGGTAGTTTATGTAAGACATCAGAGTCTATTAGTTGCTACGCGAACAAACAGCACTAACACCAGATAAATGTGTCTATATTGGATTCTCCTGAAAGCAGATCCTGAGACTGGGGCCTTTATTCAGGTTATTTATTTGAGAGGCACTTCCAAGAAGCAAGTGTAAAAGAATATCAAGCATAAGAGAACAGGCAGGGAAGGAGGAAAGGATATGCGATTGAGGTCATCACTATAGACAACAGTTGCTTAAGGATCTCTGAGAAGTGACAGAATGCCTCCCAGAATTGTCTGACCAATAGATGGAAGCTGGGAATTTTATCCAGTAGCTCCCGTACCCATTGGTTGAGAGTTGCTCACAGTGGTATTGACTCTCTAGAACTTTGAGGCTGTTTGTGCTTGAGCTGAGAATCTTATAGAGACTTGGAGCAGGCCCTGAGAAAGAATAACAAAAAGAAGCGTGGAATGCACTCGAGGTGGGATGTCTTTGGAGGACGTGGAACTGTCCCCACGCCCCCAGCAACACTTGAAATCAGAGACTGGTCCAGTGGATGAGATCTAAAGTACCAAAAGGCCTCTAATGTAGCCTATAATCATAGCTATGAATGTAATGGTAAATGATCAGGAATCAGTAAGAGAGAGAATCCTGTGAGAAAACTGTGGGTTGGTTGCATTAATTGTGCTATTTGTTGTTTTCATGGGTTGAAGATGCTTTCAAAGGGGAGGATATTTCCCTGCCTGCTGATTGTTTGCTATCTCTTAAGCATATCAGTCATGTCTAACACAAGTCACCAATTTCTGGCCATTTCCTTCTGTCATCTTTTAATCTTTTTGTCTGAATTTTGTTCTTTTACCTGAAATACCTTTCACTATTTCCATTGTGCCTAATGAGACTCTATTTCAATCTTTTCTCTACCACCACATTCCAGTCACACTAGATACTTGTGATTCTGGAGGATTATAAGGGATCATGTGTTTCCAACCTGACATTTTTCACAATACCTAGCTCTTGGTAGAAATGTAAGGAAATGGTGTTCAGAAATACTTGTTGAATTGAATGAAATCAAATACACAGAAAAGAAGATTCAACACATCCATAATGTGGGTGTTATAATTGTGTTTGGTAGGATAAGTTCATTTGAAGAGCATTGATACAGAGGTTTATTTGAAAATTTCCCTTTCAGCTGTTGGGTCATTTCCTCTCTTTGTTTCTTGGCCATCATCTCAGCCTCTTTTTAGGTCCTACTCTCCATCTGCACGACTACCATAAGTGGTAATATTTTTTAAGATTTTATTCTTGGATATCTCACTGTGCATCTTCCTCTGTATGATTCTTTTCACCTCCTTGGCTTGAATTACCTCCCATATGTATGCTGGCTTTCAGCCCCATATCTCTAGTGGTAAATCTCCTCTTAGCCCCCCTTCTATATGTCCTGGTTACAAATGAACGAATAAAAGGATAAAGGGGAGGGATGGTCATTGGCAACAGCTCCCCTTCTGAGAGATTTTTTCTACTTTTCTCTTATGTACGTGAAACTAACACAACTTGCATTTCCCAGCGCAACTCCTAACTTATGATCTCTTGCCTGACTTCCCTGGTCCACTCTTTATGGACATCAAACAGTTCATTCACTCAAGGTCTACCCCTTGCCTTGTAAACACTTAGCACTCTACACCCTGTCCAAGTAAATGCTCAGTAAATGTTAATTAGTTGCCATTAGTGATTTGCTGTTCTGCATGCTAAGCAGAATCTTTCCTTGGGGATCTTCCTACTGCCTTTGTGAAATTGTTGATAGCCATAAAAATTTCACAGTTCTTCTGAGAAAGCTCCACTATCTTAGACAAAGGTATTTTTCTCCCCCAAATCTATAATTATTATGGATTTATTATCCTACAATTGTTATAGGAAGAGAGACAGTGCTTTTTTTTTCATGTAGCTACATCATTTAACCCCTTGAAAATATATTAATTTTAATGTAATCCAAAACTAGAGTAAGTGTCTACTGGTTTTAAAAAATATTCTAAAATATAATCTTCACAGAAGGCAAATTACAAATTCCCTGTCTGATAGCTAGTCATATCTTTATTACAGAGATTATTAAATTGAGGGAGTTGACCAAAAACTTTGGAGCCATTCATAATCACTGACATTGTTAATGAAACATTTCAAGATATTGTGATCTTTAAGGACTCAATATTATATAAATACAGTGCATTAATTTTCCAACTCAGTTTTAAATTTCAGAAATATATGCTGAGTAGAGTAATTGCCTGATTGTCATTTATAAGCTTAAACATAATCTAATTTAAAAGAACTAATTGTAGTAGAATGTTATACTTGTTTAATAACTTAAGGTGTGAGGGCAAGAACAGTTAATGCAAATGGAGAAAATTGGACATCAAACTCATTTTTTTCTCCTTGCTCTATTAATCTGTTACCCAGTGGCATAATCAGTGATCTAACTTGGTTTAATTACCATGAAGTCTACAATTTAGCTAATCAAAATTTATCATGAGTTCTTCCAATGAAGTAGAAAACATTTTATAATTTTGTAATTATGAAAATACATGATGTACAATGTTGTTTGTACACGTGCATAAACATTACAGTAGTGCAATTTCTTTGAGGGAAATATACAGTACTATCACTTATAATCTGACCTCTGGGCTAAGTACAATTTAAGAAAAAGATAGTCATTTTTGAGAGCAAGAGAGCTATTGCTCGATGATATTTTTTCTTGGATATTTAGCTTGCTTTAGCTTTGTAAGTGACATTCATACAGTCTTAAATATTATGATTTTAGAGACTGTGCAAAAATACATATAAAAGAAATTTTATAATTACTGAGATTGTAAAAATAGGAAATAACAAGAACGATTTCTTGAAAAAAAAAAAAAAAAACCTCAATTTTTTATTTCTCCTCAGCTCCGTAAGGCTATTATAGATCATGTGTCAGACTCCTTTTTGGATACGACAGTCCCACTTTTGGTTCTCATTGAAGCTGCCAAAAATGGCCGGGAAAAGGAAATAAAAGAATATGCTGCGATATTTCGTGAACACACCAGCAGGCTTGTAGAGGTGAGTGTGCTAGAACTGTAACTATTCTAAATCCAGGAGAATAGGGCTCTCATTCTGCATTTATAGCTGAATTGGATTCAAATAAAAACTTTTGTCCACTTATAGCAAATGAAGCAGAGTTGGGCCAAAGTACTATGAAGGTATGTATGTCAAATTGTATAAACTATCCCCCATTGGCTTGGAAAAGGAGCAAGTTATTTAGAAAGAATTATGAAAATATGATCGATATATTTTCTTAATGTGTATTTTTTTCAGAGCTACACACACACATACACAACCCTGGTTAAACACAGGTTTTATCATTACAAATACTTTCTTCCTATTCTAACTTAAAAGTATTAGATGCTTTCTCTCATGCCACTTTATTGTTTCTCTCCCATCTTTTCATGGTTGTTACTCCTTCAGCCTTTCAAATCATATTCAGCTATGAAACATGACTATAGAACATGAATGTAGGGTATACAGGGATAGAGAAACACAGAATAATTAAGTAGGGTTAGTGGGTTTGTCCATGTCCCAGTAGAGGCAAGAGGAGATGATAAAACTGTAATTTCCTCCTGCTTGGAAACTGGAAACATGGAAATGCCCCATGATTTGGGGGGCAGGGGGACATATTGCTGAAGGAGCTATGAAGTGCTGGGTGATTCCTGGAAGACAGGTAGTGGAATTTACTGTCTTACGGACATCAATAATACAGCCACGGTATAAGAGAAAGCCTGAATGGAAGAATTGCTAACCCCAGTAAAGTGACAGTACTCACAAGTCCAGGAAACACTGGAAGGAAGGGGAAAATGTGGTTGACCAGATCCTTGTACTAGAGCGATACACTGCTGGTACCCATCAGTGTGACTCTATCAGTTGTTTATGGTTTGTGTCCGTACTCATTGTCAGTGCTATGTGCTCTGCTAATTATTAAATGTTCTATGCCTGTGCTGTGCTGATTATTAAATGTTTTGACTGCAACACCTTCCTATATAGGCCATGAATTCTGTGATGAAATATGTTTGGGGGCCCAAATTGCTTGTAAAACTTGTGTTAGAAATAGTCCCCACTTGAATTAGAAACGTTGTATAGTAAATGTTCTATACGACGTTTACTAAAGTAGAGGACTTTTCCAACATCTTTAATGTGGATCAACTGGGAAGGAAGTTTCTGATGTAGCTGGCACTTACACTGGGTCCCAGTCTTCACATCTAGAAAATAAGAGTGGATAGACAGATGATTACTAAGATAATTTCAGCCCTAAAACTGCCCCACCTACGACTTTGAAATCTTTGAACTTGCCAAGAACTCTGTGAGACAGGGCAGCTGTTGTAATTCCCATTGGCCTTATGTGGAAATAAAAATACAAAACCTAAAACAAGCTAATGAGAGTTGAAGCTGATTTCCAGGTTTACCGTGTTTAACTAATTCATTCAACTATTTATTACTTATCTAGTTTTATTTATTCCTTCTTGTACTCATTCCTCAAATATTTACTAACTATTCCCAAAGGAAAATGTTAAAAATTAAAAGAGAGCAGAACAGAGGAGCAGGTCATTAAAGGCACCTAAGTGTGGCTCCTAAATATCATAAATCTTTTGTCTAGAAATGTGTTTTCTAAGCTGAAGGAACACCAAATTATGAAAATAACTTTTTTGGTGAAATATTCTGAAAGTAAAAGTTGGTTTGTGCTAATAACGTTGGATCCTTATTCCTATTTTTCAGTTTAGTTTCTAATGAAACATAAATCTCATGAAGTGCTCAGTAAAGGACTCCTTGATCCCACGATTTTGGGAAAAAAGTTCTATTTCTCCTCTTGGAGATTTTACATATCTGAAAAATCCAGATATAAAGAAATCTCTTTAAGTCAGAATTTCCCCAAATCAATTTATCTAAAGTGCGCTTTCTTTCATGACGCTTATTAGTAAGGCACTGCCTTCCAGAAACACTTGAGAATACTACCTTATTTTATTACCAAATGATAGTTTATTGCTATGTAGATAGAGCTCTAAGAATCTATTTCTCTAAAATTAATTCTCTTAAGGCCTGAGCCCAGCAATTGGCAGAGTACAGCTTCCACTGTACTTTATTGATCAAAGCAATCACAGAGCCTGCCCAAACACAAGGAGAGAAGAGGCAGCAGGAGACTCCACATCTCACTGGAAGGAGCAGCATAGTATTTGTGGCCACCTTTAATTTACACGTCTCTTCTTAGGACTTCATTTGCTTTAGCTGTAAAGTGAAGGTTAAACAAGATAATGGTCTAAGGTCACTAACAGTTTCTAAAATAGTAAGATCTGAGAAATACTTGTTACAGTTGAGAGACTCCTAGCTCTCTAAGAGATATAGACACAGGAGAAAATGAAAATGGTTTTTAAGTATACTGCTCAAACACTAGGTTGTTTGTATATATCAAGAAGGGAAACAAAAAGAGGGCTGCATTTATGTCCCCGGAAAATTATTTTTTGAAAGGAGCTGTCTAACCAAAGCAAGAGAGAAAATCATCATTAATTTACCACAAACATTGAGATAGAAGTGTCTGGGGCAGAGTCTGAGGAAATAAGAGAACTAAAATATATCAGTTTCAGAGGACATTGTGAGTTCACTTTGTATGGATTGGTTACCAGTCTTCCACGTCCCTTTTCCTTACCACCCCACTACACAGACAAGCACATATACCCATCTTATTCCCAAGCTGGGTTATTTGACATAGCAGCACAGATTCGATACTAAATGACTTCAAGAAAAAGCTATTTTCAATATGTTTGGGTTTTGATACCTCAACTATGTTTGTCAGAGAAATTTAAAATCTAAAAGTGAACTTGTTGAAGTAAGATGTAAGTGGGAAAAAAAAAAGTCTGTTTTTAAAGAATTCCTATCAGATCTTTGAAGAAAAAGTCCATGCTGTTAAAGGAATGCTTTAGATAATGGTTAACTTGTAACTTTTACGAAAGGGATGGTAAAAAGTCGAACTGAACACAAAGCAAAATCACAAAGCCTTAAGAAATTCTGTGAGTAATAATTAGAAAACAAAAGGGATTTGGAGTATTGGTGAAAGAAATGAGATTGAGGAAAAAAGTGGCCAATAAATCGGGCCTGAACATTCCCATTCTCTAGTGAAGTCATGTCTATTTTATTACCATGTAGTAAGTTTAACATAAAGTGACCATGGGTGAAATGATGGTTATAAAACCCTGGGCAGTACCAATAATTGGAGAACTTAGATCCTTGTGGCTAATTTTATTTTACTTATGTTGCATTAAGTAACTGTTATGCAAAGCTTTTCCTACTTTGAACATCCAAGTTAGTCTGTGTTTTTGGGTCCACCAAGGCACACTAAGAATGAGACGCAGGAGTCGAGGTTGGCCCTTTAAAAATTAAGCTCACATAGTGATGAGCAATTAATGACTAATGTGCTTATTGAATTGTGCTCCCCAGTACTTTGATGTTGCACTGACGGTATCTTAGGGCACCATTAACTCTAGTGGTTTCCACCAATAATACCTATTAAACAAGAAGTTTAAAGTATTAATTTTATCTTTAAAGAAAAATATTCAGTAATTCTGGACGGTAAGGATTTTATTTTTTATCGCTTTAAGCTTCCTCTCATAGCAAAGTCTATAAGCTAGTTCTCAATAGATTTGTCTTAAATGAAGAAACACATTCATAACACTCGCTCAGTTTTCTTCCTCTCTAAAAAGTTGACTCTGAGGATTCCAGTAACTGGACTTGACATATATGCCTGATCCCAATTATTTGAGTACCTCCCTACTCTGTTGTACAAAGATACTTTAAAATAATACTACACAATGATATTAGCAAATGGCTTTGCCATTAGTTATCAAAAGCAGACAGACACTATAAACCCTGCTCCAGATCTCCTTCGGAAAGAGTTTGTGACGATTTGATAACATCTTTAAAGAACTTTGCCCATTTCAGAGATAAAGTTTGTAGCTTTAATGTGGTAATGTTACTATTATTCAGAAGAATGCCATTCTATATTCAATAAAGACATTGTTTTTATAATGGCTATTATTTAATATTTCTCTAAAATTAATATTTAAAAACCCCACTATTATTTCTGAATCATATTACAATTTGTTCTCAGCAAGTCAATTCATGTTGAACACTACAGTTGCTACCAATTAACTGATAAAATCTCCTGTTTGTTCCATGGATTTTATCACATTAATTATTATTAAGCATGCCAGTGTTAATGATCAAGACCTGAAAATTTCCTGTGAATTAGTGAAGTTTCTCTATGTGAAAAGCCAGCTTTGTCAGTGCTTTGACTTATTCATCAAAAATTCATCTGTCTTGATGTACCTTATTTTAGTAAGTTTCATGGGAGCCTTTCATCAAAAAGGAAAAAGTGGGTGGACATTTAATTATAATACTTCCCTCCAACCTACAAAGCTGATTGTTCCCACTCACAAAATGGCAAGCCAGATTTAGCAAAGCCCCAGTGCCAAGAGAGAAGACTTTAGAGGGGGACTCTTGCTGTTTGCAAGAAGTGCTCATTGCTATCAGCTCTACTAATATTGTTGCGTTTTGACAGAATGCTGTTCAAATGTCACGCATTGCTTTAATTGATCATCTGTTATCAAATAAGGATATGTGTGGTTATAAATAAATCAAGCTTTTAGAGACCCATCCCGTTCTTCCTTCTTTCTCGCCCTCGACAAGAAAAAAAATGGGAAAAAAAAAAAAGAACAAACCCATATTTACGCTTGTACACAAACCAACAACTGTTCTACACAAACCAACAACTGTTCTCAGTGAGCATCTTGGCAGCTCTCCTCTTTTCCTGGGGAAAGGATATTATAGCTAAATCAGAAATGGTTTTGCTTATATAGAATAGAGCACACAGGTGTGACTGCCCACTCCCTGGATTAAAAACTGCTCAGCATTTTAATCTTCTTTTAGTTAAAAGACATGATGAACATGATTCTTCAAAGCCTAGCGTGAAAGCACAGTGAGTGACCTTTCCATGTTTTAGAGGTTTCTTTATAAATTTT